TATCTAAAGGCCCTGTCCCTCAAGTTTATGACTCCCAAATTCAGAACTCCTGATCTTAATTTTTTTAAGTGTTTTTATTTATTTCCGAGAGAGAGGAAGGGAGAGGAATAAAGGGGTAGAAGCAGCCATGCCTACACCTTGATTTTGGACTTCTAGCCTCCGGAACTGTGAGAGCCTAACTTTCTGTTGTTTTAAAGCAACCCAGTCTGGGGGTATTCGTTACAGCAGCCCTAGGAAACTAATACAACATACATTCAACTTCGCCTCAAAGCGCTGCCTTAGTAGTAACATGGTATTACTTTGTTTTTGAGTAGTAACTTTTAGAGAACACCTTAGCAATGTAGTGATGTTTGTAAGTAGATAAATCAGATATCTCTTTGTAAAAACACTCCAGAAGCACTGCCTATAGATCGGGATCCACCTGATCACACTGGCCTTAGGTGCAGTGCCTGCAGCTCCACTGCACAAACTGCGTTGTGAATTTTAGCCCCCCTCCCCTCCCAAAAATAGTGTCTGAAAAGTTTTGGGAAATTAAATTATCCCTGCTTTGCCTCGTCTCAAGCCCCACTGACTGTTAGCTGGTCCATCCTGGTAAACCTCAAATGCCTCCTCGGCATGTCTCCAAAACTGATCAGTACGTAAAACTAATGTTTGCTACAGATGGGGGTCTTCTTCTGTGCAGAGTTAGAAAAGGGTGCAGTGTGCCGCTGCAGCAGTGTGAGGTCAAGCCCAGCATCTTGGCCTTGTGAGCATGGAGGAGCTTGGGCAGGACAGCCCACAGCTCACCCAGGGCAACTCAGAGCGAAGATAGGAAGAGAGCTGGGGAGAGTGGCACTGGGGTAGATGCCGTTGACACACTCCGTGTTGTGTTAAATCTTGCGTCCCTCTTAAGTATGCCACCAGAATTCTAGTATGCATATGAGATTGCTCTGTGCACAGAAAGGTTGGGACCACCAGTCCAGTGACAGCTGCTCTGGGCTCACGTGGGGAAAATGAGGTGTCCTACAGAATCTAAATTTTAAATGCTAAGTAGTAGATGGTTTTTATTCATTGGCTCCTCATAGCGGCCCCTTGAGAAAAATGCTGTTTTCCCTGGTTTATAAATTTGAAAAACAGAACCTGGGTTACATAAGAGGGGGAGGCCGACTTTGAACCTGGCATCCGTGCTCTCTGCATTCGGCCACTTGTACTGGCTGAGCAGCCCTCGGTGCCTGTCCAAGAGGCCAGCCCTGATTGCCAGGACCCCAGACCTCTGTGTTTGCATTTTCTTTCAGGCTTTTTGTAGTTCTTCCTCTATCCTCATATGCTTAAGCTGTCATATTTTTGTTGTCTAAGAGAACTTGACCCTGTTCATTTTGTGAATTGCTCTCTATATACAATGATCCAGGAAATTAAATATTAAGCTTCCTTGGTAGTGTCTCCTACCATGAATAGTAGGCAGTCAGTAAATGGTAGGTGGTATTATTCTTGTGTTCCTGTGTTAGTGAGGAACTGATCATGGATGCCTAAAGGTACTTTTGCTTACTGAGGTCACAACCATGGATGCTATTCGAAGCTACGCAGATACTTTTTAATTGAGCTGGCTGTGTGAGAGAGCAGAGAGAATGGCCAGCTCCTTCCTTCTGCGGGGCTGCTGCGTCTCTGTTCCAGCGGGTTGTGGCTGCATTGGAATGTGGCCTAGACGTGCTGGGTCTTGTGGTGTTACGTTTTTGTTTTTGAAAGAAAAGCTATAGCCCCGCTGGCGTGGCTCAGTGGTTGAGCTTCAACCTATGAACCAGGAGGTCAGGGCATATGCCAAGATTGCGGGCTCAATCCCCAGTGTGGGGTGTGTAGGAGGCATCTGATCAATGATTCTCTCTCATCATTGACGTTTCTATCTCTCTCCCTCTCCCTTCCTCTCTGAAATCAATAAAAATCTCTTTAAAAAATAAAGAGAAAAACTAGAAATTTAGGCTTTTATGTGAAGTTAGCCAGAAATTAATTCAAATTAAAAAACAAAAACAAAACACTGTTGGCCCCATCTAAACATTCATGTACCAGTACAGTCTGTGGACTGCCGGTTGGGTGAACTTTAAAATAAGGAAGTGGCCAGGTATGTGACCAGCTAGTTCAGTCAAGAGTGACCACATTTAGCCCTGGTTGGTTCAAGAGGTGTCCCCACACAGCAAGGTTGAGGGTTCGATCCCTGGTCAAGACACATGCAAGATTTAATCAATGAAGGCATAAATAAGTGCAAGAACAAACTGATTTCTCTTTCTCGCTCCTTCTCTCTAAAATCAATAAATAAAATTTAAAAGAGTGACCATATTTATTTTCTGAAGTTCTGTTTATGAGAAAAATTGAAGTATCATTACTCCACTTGCTTTATGTTTTAAAGTAATTTTTTAAAAAATTTTTGTTTTATTGCTTAAAGTATTACATATGTCTCCTTTTTTCTTTCCCCCTTGACATTCCCCCGGCCTCCACTAACCCCCAGTGTCTTGTGTCCATTGGTTATGCTTATATGCACACATACAAGTCCTTTGGTTGATCTCTTACCCCCTTCCCGCCCCCCAACCCT